CGAATCCTCCACTCCGATATTTTACCAGCGTCCGTAGGTGAGTCGATCATCGAGATCCCGTGTCGTTCTCTTGCGTAACGGTGGCTGCCGTCAAATTTCACTGTCAAATGACATTGCGAGGATTGGTAACCTAATTCACGATGCTTCTCATCTCGGAAGGAGGAGGCGACACGTTCCGAATCGGAATCGGTGTCGCGTACCTTCGATGAACGATGGATAGAGACCTCGGCGATTGCGCGGAAAATGGGCAACGAATGATGCGCGTGTGTGTCTGTGGATCACGCGTAACCTTCGACGACACAAGGGGCTTGATCGTTGCAAATTGGACGAATCATAATGCAGGTGGTCATAGGTAGGCGACTCGGTGAGTCTTCGTGAACGTTTTAAATGGAAATCGAACGATAGTCAGGAATTACCGTTTAACATCTGTTGCATCGCGTTCCACGGAGGGGGGAAAAAAGAAACGCTTCGTGTTTCCCGAGTCATCTCTGTATGCACTCCGAACTTGGTTCTCGCGTGATTAATCGAACGGTCCGTGTTAGGACACCCAGCCGACAGCAGGATCGAGAACAATAAGTTCGGAACAAAGAGCCGCCGAGATGGATTCGCGAACCGATCGACCAACGTCCGTTGATCGAAGCCCGCAAATACTGAATTTCCCTCTCGCGCGTTAAATTACCCCGTGTCGAAACCGTTATCGTATAACATTATCTCGGAGGGGGCCCCCGTTCCGTACCGTTCACCCGAGGAATACGTCCTGGGCAGGGATCGATAAACCGATCGCCACACGGAGGGAATCGTAATTCCGTCTGGGCGGCTCGTTAACCGAGCATTAAAATTGCTCCCGAGCGTCGCCGGGTAATGAAATTAATATAGAGGGAACGTAACAGCCGTTCACGGATATTAAGGCACGCCTTGCAATTAATTTACGTATCACGGATTATTACCCGGCTGGGAGAGATACTTTCACGAGAGAATTAAGTAGGATTTTCGGGTTACGCCCGAAGTACGGATCTGGTGGAGGGGATTTAAACGTGATACACAATCAGACGGCGTAAACAACCGTTTTACGATAGCACGAAAGTCGATTCCGATTTGCCATTTCGTCGTTATTCGCTGGCCACAGTCCCCTCGACGACATCTTTACGCCACGAATATAAACCATTGCACGAAATTGACCGCCGTCAAAAAGTATCTCTATACAAGAATTGTTCGCCCCGTACGGATCGATCAAGGACAGTTCGAATTTCCAGTTACTCGATCGAACGACATCCACTTTATGATCCCCCGAGACCATTCGTTTTTTTTTTTTTGTCGAAACGGCGTTGCAATTTTGTTGCACTGGTCGGAGCGGGATGACGCCGGTTTCGTTTCTCGCCCCTGGCTGTAAATCAACCGACGCGGCGCGAAAAAATTGCATGCCCATGCTAATGTCGGACGATTGCGCGGCGCTCGTAAAAATGTCACGTCGCCGCGGCTCCGGCAGCTGTGCTCTGAAACGATCTTTTAACGAATCGCCGCCGTCTCGAAACTTTAGAACCAGTTTATAAATTGTCTGTTGTGTGTGACTGTGTGTGTGTGTGTCTGTTCTTTTTTTTACGTTGTTCTCTTCCCTTCTCGGACGAGATCGTCGCGTCGGTGTCAAAGATTAAAACGTTAATCCTTTCGGTTACGGGAAGAGTGAGACGTCTCTTCGTAAAATGGTCCCGGAACCTGGCGTTCGAGACGTCCTCGGGCAAAGTATCGGTTCGAAGCGCGCAGTTGGGAATCTTTTCGAGCGCGGAAAGGAGGCGTGTGGGCGTGCATCGGTCGCGCGTTGTCTACGATTCGAGGTGGGGTTCTTCACCGGGGACGGCAATGAGCTTAACAATGGCATTGCGATACTGCTCGAATTTAATTTGAAAGCAGCCAGAGGCCCCATTGTACTACGGGGGGAACGTATATATGTACGTATAAATAGACGTGCGCTCTCGGTGCGCGTGCGTGCATGCCCACGCAAGCAGCTTTTATGCCACCGAGGGATCCGTGCGCGTCTCACCACACGGCGTCGCGTCGAGTCAAATTTGCATTTACAACCACGAGCGTCTTCTAGAAAAAAGAACGTATAAATTCTCGTTAAATGCGATTCTATCGAGAGGGGGGGAGGGGGCAGTTCAGTCGGCCGAGCCGTCGAGGCAGTGGTTCATAATCGAAATTTAGAGGCTACATAGATGCTTGTCAATTTTAGGGATCCTTTTCGATATCGTCATTGTTCACTGACAGTGTTCTTTAGGGAAGTATGAAAGGGGAAATTTTTTCTCTATTTTGCATTCAGAACAGAGAAATACGTCTATGATTGATGATAAGTTGACGCGGGTGTTTAGAAAAATAAAAGAAACTCGATTTCGATCGTTCGAGCTGCTAGATTTTGTCGATGTGTTTCCATTTTGGAATTTCAGAATTGAATGTATCGCTAACGGTTTCAGGATTCGAGTATCGAACGGATGAAAGCGGATGTTTACGGTTGCGCGAGGATGTTTCATAAAGGGCTCGGAGGTTAACGGCGGATGGTTCGGATGGAAAGTCGGCGGAGTTTCGCGACAACTTCCCGAACCCGGCGGATAATAACGTAACACGACGACAGACGACGGCGAAGGGACTTCAAAGAACGCCGTTCGTGGACGAACGACGGTGTTGTCTCGTTCAAGAACCGTTTTATTGCCGTTTTGCGCCAGTCCAGAGCGTAGAGGACATTGTTCGAACCTCTGGGAGTCTCTCATGATTGTCGTGTGCCTTTCCATTCTCGTAATAGTGGCCGTATTCAAATAACGCCGGCACACACCGTTTACGCATCGCGATCGTTGGGCAATCGGTAGACGAAAAAAAAAAAAAAGAAAAAAGAAAAGAGGAAAAAAATCAGGGGGAAACGATGAAAATCACGAAAGTGACACGGTCAACCGTCCCACAAGAGCACAGCTAGAGGGATCCTTGGTAACTTAATACTCGATGTACCGTTGGCGATCGATCGCGGTGGGAGAATTTTGTAATATCTACGACAAGATCTATGGATCGATCGACAACGCCGAAGTGCTTTCTCGTTTATCTCGGCGTAATCGACCGCTTTCTTTCGCACCGCTCTCGATCTCGCCGTTATCGGTGACCAGTGCGCGTTAATTGTACGAAGAGGGGAGGAAAAAAAGGATCGAGTGGTCGCCAGGTGAATTATTACGCAGATACCAGGTGGGGAGGGGGGGGGACGGTCGCGAGGAATCGTTAATGCCGAGAGATCGAACGCGGGTTGGCAGCGGGCGCCGTATCGAAAAAGAAAAGAACATAATGGGCGGAGGTGAACGAGAGGAACGAAGGGGCCGCTGATCGTGTATGTGTATGTAGGTATTGGTTTCGCCTCGGACGACCGTTAACGGTGTAGTCGGTCTATTTCGATCGGCGGCGTGGCACCTAACAACAAAAATCGAGGCGCCTCGCCAGGCCTCTCTCTCTCTCTCTCCCTCTGCCTTACCTGTTATCAATTAACTGTTAACGTTGCTGCACCCTACGGAACCCGTAACCGCTGCGTGCACTATCGAACGGGGCCTGTTTCTCTATGAATAATGTATCGCGGTTCGGGGAATTCGTGGCATTTAATCATTGGATCGTTAAGAGCGGACGGTACAGGACGGGCGACGCGACGAGATTTATGCGGCACCCACGAATATTCCCGCGCGGCTATGAGAATCTTCCTGGCGCGAGCGTTTTCTTCCTTGATCGCAGACTCCACGCGGCTTTTCGTCGATGGATATACTTCGTACGTTCCACGCTAATCTCTGATAATTTACTCTCTCTCGAGAAATCATTGGAAACATATCTACTCGTTGTGAAAACGATTTATAAAAAGGCTGTCATAACGGTCGCGGTTTCATTAAAAAATCGAGCAGAGAGAGAGAAAGAGAGAGATGTATATAGGGGTGAAAGTGCTCAGCAGCGTCCTATGTTGCGGTTTCACAGACGACCGTTAAGAATCTTGATCCTAATAGGTAAAGGTTAGCGAAAATACCTTACGGCGGGAAAATAAAAATTCCCCACCTACAAATAACGAGTAAAGCTTTTCCCCCGCGGTCTGGCAATAACCGATCACCTTGCACCGGGGTTATCTCGCCCGTTCGCCGGTCCCTCGAATGGGCGCAGTGCCCCTTCGTCCGGGTCTGGAGGCGCGTAAATTTATGAACGAGGAAACGACGCCGAGGTACGCTCGCGCTAGGGAACATAGCTTTCGCGAGCGGTGTCTCGTTCCATGAACGGCAGAACGAACCGTTCGGTGATATAAGGACGAGGGCGTGGGCGACGCGCTTACTTTTCAAGCAAACGGATCGTGAAGCCGCGACGCTCGGAACTGGTTCCTGGAGCGAATTAGACGCCCCGAAGCGGCGACTGTCCGCACCAGTGAAACCCGTTCGTTCGTTCGTGTGTTACAGGGAAAAATGATCTATGGATCTATTCGTTATTCCTGGTTTTTATCATTTGGACCGTTCCCCTCGAATCGGCGAAACGAACGAGTTCGTACCGTGACATACGGTACCACCTTCGTGTAGTTATAGAAATCTAATTTCATATTTTCTTTTGCTTTTCTTCAGAGAGACCTAAAAGTTTGCCAATAGAATGCGACGTTCGAGGATCGAATAGAAAACGCGACCGAAGGAAGAGTTACAGAGATCCGTGGGTTAAAAGGAAGACTCGAGAGCTCGGGAAGCGAACTCGCCAGGAGTACGAACCGGGATTTCTTCGGCGGTCAGACGCCGGGAGCCTGGCGATACGTCTCAATCAATTTCAGGCTCCCGCGTTTTCTTCATCGTCGTCGTTGTCGTACGGTCGATTCACACGGCGCGGCGGCGAGGTTGGAGCGCGCGATCGGGCGGCTTCATAAATATTCAGAGAGGCGCCGCTCGAGTGGTAGGTATTGCTCCTCGCGGACCGTTGCGAACGGAAGGGAACCGGGTGACGGGAAGAAAAACAAATCAATTTACCTTATGCGTCATTCCACGACCTTGAAGCCGGGGTGAGGTTTAGCTCTGGCTGTACTTCCGAGTAGAAACGGTTTCTCACTTCTCCCAGCTGATCCCCTACTGGTGCTTCCTCTTCCTTTTTTCGTTCGCTCCAACTTGTTGTTCTTCTTTGTTTTATCTCCCTTCCCGTTTGTCACCCGTATAACTGTTATCAGAGTTCACCACAGCGAATTGCACGAGGCGCAGAGAAACAACAGAGACAGATTGAGAGACAGAAAGAGAGGGACAGAGAAGATAGAGCACAACAGTCAATCGGTGTTCAGGGGATGAAGAGAAACAGAGGTGAAAGAAAACAAAAATAGGGGAACAGAGAAGGAGCACTCTAGTATCAACAACAGCACACTATCCCAACACTCGAGCACTCTGCCGCCTTCTTCGTCGAGTTCTCCCGATCGTGTTTCTACGTGTATCCTGATCGAAACGTCCGATCGAACATCCCATGGAACGTTCCTTTGCGTCGGCTTCCAAAACGGGGTTAGTATGTACGTCTGCTGTCGACTCTTGGGTATACCTCGTGGCGACCACGTGTTCCGAGCGACAGATCACGATGTGCGCGCTCGCTGGCGCGCGCTCGCCCGAACGCCCTGCCGTGCTTCTTTCGCCACCCGTAATCTTAGGCGGGAAATGTTCTTATTCGCGCGTAGTAGCTTCGGTATCGTCCAGGGTTCACTGAACAAACGGGGTAACCGTTGATATATCCTCGGGACACGATCCTTGTGTGTCTTAACTAGAATTCTTCTCGCTGTTAGCGAACTGTCATCACTGTGACGAAAACTGGGAAGCAACTTCGGGGATAATCGTCATAGATCCATCAACGATCCGTGATCCCTGTCACTTGCCACACCGTGAACGATATCCTGTGGTCCCGATCGTTGGGAATGAACGCACAACACGTGCTCCTTCACGATGTTTCTTCTTTCGGATGAGGAGGACGATCTTGTGCGATCCGTGTGTGACATCCGACGTATGGTACTCCGATCGATCCCCGTCGATCGCGTGTGTATCGTGTCGTGTCGTGTCGACAGGACAGCCGAGTCCTGACTGTTCGTCGTGCGGCACGTCCGTGCGCGGAGGAGCGGAAAGGAGTCAACCACGTTGCCGCCTCGTGGACGAAGCGGAATATCAGCGAGCGCTCTCGAGGAGATTCGTGAGACGCGACTCGCCGCGAGTTGAGGCTCTCCGGAGCGGAATGGGTGGGAGAATCGAGGCGAGGCGCGGCGTGGCGCGACGACGACGAGGAGCAGTGTGTATGGTGGTGGGTGAGTAAAACCGAGACGTCTGTATATCGGTGAGCAAAGCTGCGTCGCGCGGGACCGACAGAGCGGGAGTGACCGGCGGGAGCGATGGAAAGAGAGAGAGGAAAGTAGAACGCAAGGTGAGAAAGACGAAGACGGAGAAGGGAGGGGAATCGCGTCGGTGTGTGCGATAGATGGGAAAAGGGAGAAAGAGAGACGAGTACAGGTTGAGGAGAACGCGCTCGCGTGTGCGCACACAGAGGCACACAGAGAAGGGTACGCTGCCGTGGACTGGGCGGGGAGACTGAACCCGTAGGTTGGCGGGTAGGTTGGTAAGTAGGTAGGTAGGTAGGTAGGTGAACCACGAGGAACACACGGGTGGACGTTCGCTTGTGTGTCGTCGTCGTCGTTGTCGTTTCGTAGTCCCTCTTCGGGTGAATCGTCGGTACGATTCGGGTGGGTAGGTGTGCGGCGGTATAGCGAGGAGCTCCCCTGGCGTGTTAACCGTGAGAGACGTCGGGAAGGTAAGTGCTCTCCTCTCTTTCAGCTACGGAGTAGCACCACGCCGGCACGCGACCTGCCCACTCCCACCCTCCTTCCTCGCGTCTCACGATCTCTCGTTCCCTCTTCCTCTCGCGCGTTCACCTACTCGGCGTTTTTCTTCTTCTTTTTGCTCTATAGCGACCGCGGCACCGGCAGAGCATCGTCTCCTTTTCCAACACGGATCGTTTCCTTTCTGCCTCTAGGTTCTTCGGTGTTCTCGTTCCCTCCCCCTCCCCCCAACGTGCACACCACGAATGGAGAAACGAGAGGAACGAGACGGAGAGGTAATATCCAGAGAGGTGGACGAGCGAGTGTTGGTGCACCACTCCTACCCGGTGGACACCGACACCGCACCGGAATCCTCCCACCCAGGACGGTGTGTACAGGCATGGATAGGAGAGAAAGAGAGGAATGAATCGCTAGAGAGGAACCGAGGCGAGTGACGCTCGGCTCTATCTCCTCTCTGTGTCGTTAATCGCGGTGTAACCTACCGGTCAACTAATTCACCTTTGCAACTGTACCGACACCCCACCGAGTCCACCTCGAGCTCGAGCAGAGATTCCTTTCTTACTCTTTTTCTCTTCCGTTCGCGTGCGCCTTTTCCTCTTTCGTTCTCCGCATTAACGAGTACCGATCAACGGACAACCCAGCTGTTCCCCGTAACCGCGATTACCGGACGCGTCACGCGTTTACAAGAAGCTGGACTTCTCTCAAGTAGGGACTAGACAGCTCGTTCTTTCTCGCCATTGTGTTCATCGGTATCCGCTTCTCGCACGTGCGGGTCGCCTTTGTTTCAATTTTTGTCTAGCCTGTGTTTAGTCGGCTGGTCGTTTGAACGGCGTGTCGACGTTTCCCCTTCTTCTTCTACTCTCGACCATTTCCTCCAAGGACCGTGAGCACTCCCACCAATCTCGCCCGGTTACTCCCGTTTCGTGACTCGCTCCTCTGGGCCACTAATTCACTTCTGGAACTGTATCGCCCCCCTTCCACCTGGGACCTTGACTGCCGACTCTCCGCGATGACGATCCGGTTGCCCTAGGACCGGGCCAAACTCGTTATCGTGTTTCGTTCATGGTCCCCCACTTTCGAATCGATCACGGTCCCCTTTGATCCGGCCCCGATGATCAGTTACGAATAGAACCGATCGGGGGCTCGCGATCGAAGTCTCGATGGAATTTGATTTTGAATTGGAAGTCAAAATTATCAGTCCTTGAAGGGAAGAGTGATACATACAAGCATACATTTATCGCGTGTTCCTTGAGCTTTCCAATGTTGTCGAATTTCACTTTGGTCTACTTTTCTCTATGACTACTGGTCGACCGTGGTATAGATCCCTAGGTACCAGGAAGTCACGGTGTAATGAACAGGTCATTCCGTCGTACGGTAATTTTCGGACTAGTTAAACCGTAAAGTTTCAAGACGGTCACCGTTGCGGCGGCACGGTCACATTAATTAAAACTGGCCCCGTTCGTTCTTCGTCGTATTCGTGGGCCGGAAAAGGAGGGAAGAAGAAACAAACATACCTCTTCGCCGGTAATTGAAACGCGAAACGCGCGTGAAATTGCCGAGGCCGAAAGGTGGATCGGTCGGCGGTACCAATGTTCGCCTAGGCCGCGCACGATTTTTACTCATCCATTGCACTCGCCGTATTCGGTGGAAACTTTATCCGTAAGTTCTAGCTTTCTGGGTCAATCTCTGGTTAGCTTCTTAGCTTTAGGTTGCCCGAGACGGTCGAGATACCTAAGCACGACGAGTAAATCGAGGCGGCAAGCGTTAGGTATACACGCCTCGAGAGACCTTAGATCATCGGATCCTCGTGGATCTGCTCGCTCCGCCTTGTTGCGCAACGGATCGCCGCCGCCGTCGGTGATCTCTCGGGCACAGTCCTGACACAGTTACCTGGTCAGAGCGTTACGGCCGGATTAAAGGAAATGAAAAAAGAACTCCGAGAAACGTGAGCCACTCTCGAAGACCCTTCCTCCCCCTCCTACTCTATGCTTCATCGTTTCGTGACTTTTTTGTGACTTTTTCGTTTCATCGAAAGAAAATATACAACGTTCAGGTGTTCAAAATATATTGAGAAACTACTGGTTACCTTATATTTGTCGAACTTCACATACAGGAAAAGCGATTTTTCCCTATCTTTAACTATTCCAGTTCTTATTTAAGAAATACGTACTCCTACGTCGTCCGACATTAAAGCGTTAATATCCATAAATTCATAGGCGACAGAGGATAAAGGAAATCGGCGTTGCGTTAACGTCAATCAATACGATCATCGATCCGTGATATTTCAGCCTGGCAAAAGGTGGGTCGGAATTCGCGACCGCGTCGCGACGGATTCTTCCCTCTCGCATTCTATTCTGTACGATGACACTTCCCTCCTTGGGGGTTTGACGCGACACGGGACGCGCGCGTGCACACACACACGCGCGTGCGCGGTGAGAACCCATCATTAGACGCCTACGCGCGCCGCGAATATCGTCGAGGACGGGACGGGAGGATACCCGCGACACATCGTTGGTCGCGACAGAGGCCCACGGTCCGACGCGGAATCGAGGCGGAGCAGCGCGGTGAGAAATAGTCGTTGACAATGTCGAACACAGGAAGTCGGGCTCGGGGAGTACGTACAACATACCTCTGTATAAAAGAACTTTGCACGGCCGTATGTGAGATTCTTGATCTTTATCGGTTAAGGTTCGATAGGGAATTAAAAAGAAAACTAGTAAAAGGAAAAGGAATGTTCAATTATGCCGAATAATATTTAGGTATTTTTAATTACTGCCTGGAACTTACTTTGTGGATGCGCCACGTACTTGATATTATTGGGTTATCACCCGTATGTATAAATTAAATTAAATTAAATTAAATTATTCACACGGTGCATAAAAAAGTGCCGAGGATAAATTAGAATTTGTAACGGTTAAATTTAAACGTGTCTAACCGATTATAATGGAGTGTATCCCACTAAACGAACTTCATTGCCCATAACCAGCGTGCTTCGAAGTAGAACAAGACGAACCTGGACAGACGATGACTATTCTAATGAAACGGGCTTGTAATTGGGTCAGTCAGTCGGTGGGGTATATCCCAAGCGCGAAAGGGTTTTAAAGCGACCGGTGGAATCGGTTGACTGAAATCTCTCGGTGTGCCAATCCGGGGTATCGTAACACCTTCACCGGTCCCATCGCCGACACGGGGGGTGTCCACCAGATCCTCTTT